GGGACCCGCGGGTCCCTGGTAAGGCCTGCACATCAGGGCTGTGCTGAGGGCACAGCCAGAGCTGAAGGCAAGGCCTGCTGCCCATGCAGAGCACATGGCAGAGCTGCAGGCCCAAACCGGGCCTGTGTCGAGTGTGGAACGCTCCAACAGGCCCCGAGGGCAGTGGCAGCAAAGGCCAGACCCCTCCAGCACAAGGAGGAGGCAGAGCACACACGTGTGCTGCCAGGGGCATTTCTGGGGCACTACTGAGCCAGTCCCTCTGGGAGCTGCGCTGGGCAGTTCCAAAGGACAAAGCTGAACCACACTGAGGTGTCCACACTCTGTCAGGGTGGCAAAGCTGAATCCTGCAACCACTGCGGCCCTGCTGCAAATGATCTATCTTTCCTAATGTTTTCATGGGTTTAATTAACCTGTTAATTAGTCCTTTTAGTTAATCATAGCCAGGTGTTGAATCACTTTCAGCTTGCCTTCAGCAGCATTGGACGTGATCTGCTCTTGTGAGAGCAGAGCTTGGGAAAACACTGAAGCTTTCAGTTTGGATAAAGTAACTCTGCCAGGGAGAGAAAGATGTGTTGTTGAAGTTGGGCATGTGGCATGCAGAACTGATGGACCACAAGGATATTTTGCAGAAAAGTAATGTTAAAGAAGAGCCTAACACCAAGTAGCTATATGTGATGGAAAGTCCCTACCAGTGCCAAAAGATACCAAAAAGAAAGACTTAATGTCTCAAGTTGGACTTGGCTCCTCCTCCCTCTCCCTCTCTCACAGCAGACCGAAAAAGTTAAAAGAACTCAGACAAAAAAAATTCACAAAAAAATTAAAAGAACCCAAATCAAACTGAATTTCAAGTGAAACACATTTATATATATAAATAGAATAATATACAATATAACACCCACAGGGAACCCCCCAGAAGGGAAAAGGAAAGGGAAAGCGAAAAGGGAGAAAAGGATAAAAAGGGATAAAAAGCAAATACTTCCCTCAAGAGAACAGCGAACCGCACCACACAACCGCCGGCACTCTCTGCCTCTCAAGGCCAAGTAGGCCCACTAGGCTTCACTCCCTCACTCGGGCTCAGTGGCAGCCGAGAAGCTTCGCCTTCGGTCCGCCAGAAGAAAGAGAGCGAGAGCTTCCTCTCCCTTCTTATTTATACTCTTGCTTACGTAAAAATCATATGGAATACTGGGAACATGTCCTTGGTTCCTTGGTTACAACCTGGTCACCAAGGAAGGCCTAGGCTACACTTAATAAGCATGAAGAGGGAGAAATTAATGACCAGTAGAGAAGAGACTACTCATTAATGAAAGGGACTGACATCATTTAGAACCAATGAACATTCATTTCTTTCTTTCCCGAAAATTAATAAAGAGGTGAACAACTATTCCAGCAGTGTCAGAGTAGAGGCCAGGATTCTGTAGGACATACACACTCCAGGTATTGTGAATACAGTAATGCCTTGCTTTCTAACATTAAAATTGCTGTGTTAGGGGGGTTTATTGTCCCAATAAATTTTGAGGGTTATTGGTGACAGGTGTCCAAATCTGATGAGAAGCGTCTGAGAGAATTGGGTTCGTTTAGCATGAGGACAAAGCAGCTCAGGGGGCACCCAATCTTCCTCTACAAGCAGCAGTAAGGAAATGGTGCCCAGGTGGGGGACAGTTTGTTCTTCCAGGGAAGAAGCACTGAGACAAGAGGAAAGGGCCTCAAGTTGCACCAGGGGAGATTTAGATTGGCTCTTAGGAAAAATTCCTTCACCAAAACGGTTCTCAGTCTTAGGAATGGACTGCCCAAGGAAAATGGCTGAGTCACCATCAATGGAGGCATTGAAGGGGCCTGTCGATGTGTCATTTGAAAACAGGGTTTATTGGTGCCATAGACAGTGTAAGGTTTGCAGCTGGACTAAAGATCTTAATGGTCTTTTCCAACCACCAGAACTCAGAGACTTAACCTAAGAGCAATCAGTGTGGAGTCAGGGGTTGGACTCCAATATCCTCGAGGCTCCCTTGAAACCTGGATATTCCATGTGACTGCCACTGAGGAGCAGCTGATAATAAATCCCAAAGAAAGAAAAAGGGAAGTTCTTGGAAGAAGATCAACTCCAGGGCAGCCTTAACTATTACCCCAGGCCCACTCGGAATTGCTGAGCTGGGGTGGGCATGAAGGGCGGGGCTGGCGCTGCTGTGATGTGATCGGGCTCTTGTGACATCACAGGGGTTGTGTCACAATGGGGGCAGCTCTAGAGGGCCCCAGCAGGTAACGCTGCCCCAGTAGAGCCTGGACAATTGGTGAGTGCACACGCAGGGCCGAGGCTGGGCTGCACGAGGGCTGGGGCCGAAACTCTGTCCCTGGGGATGGCTTCTCACTCTCTATGCAGGGGCAATCCCTCACCAGAACACCTTGGGCATACAATGGTGCTGCTGCTCCTGGGGCAGTGGCACAGACCTGGCTACCTGCCAGCTGTCCTGGGGCCCTCTCCTTCCTGCTCCCACATCCCTGCACCTCCCATCCCTACTCCCCTCACCTTTAGCTCCTTCCCTCCCTTTCATCCACACTCAACTCCTTCTCTCTCTCCTGCAGACCATGGCTTCCAAAATGTTTCTTCTCATGCTTTTGCAAACCCTCATCCAGTACCCACAGCTGGTGGGTGATGGGCTGGATGAGGCCACCCGTCTGCGCATGGAGCTGCGCGCCAAGCTCCTGAACAGGGAGATGACTCGGCTGCTGCAGGAGCTGGAGCAGAGCAGCCTGGAGCGCACTCTCAGGGCCTGGGGAGCCCTGCTCTGGGCTGTCTTGCAGCAGGGGCACTTCTGGGCTCTGGCTGGAGTTCTGGGCCTTCTCTTGGCACTGTGGTTTATGCGCCGGAGAAGGAGCCGCCAGCCAGACAACAACGGCGAGGAGGTGGAGGATGAAAACCTTGTTATGATAGTGCAGGAGGAAGACAACGAAGATAGAAATGAAGTCAGAATTGTTGGTGAAAATGAGGAAGAAGCCGACAACGATGGTGCCATTGCAGAAAATGGCAATGATGGCGGACATGCAGTAGAAGAAGAGGACGATGCTGAAAATGACATTGGAAGGATTTTAGAGGGGCACATACAGTGGCCTAGTCAGGACCTGGAGAAAGGTTGCGAGATGACATCTGATGTAATGGACCTTTTCATATCTGTCTTTCAACACATCTTGTCCAACAGTTTATATCCCATGCCGCAACGAGCCATCGGGGTGGGCAGTGCCTTTGAAGGGTGGAGTCCCCGGGAGGAGGATGTCGTGTACAGCGTCCTTGTCCCCCTCACTCCTCCCCCGGGGCACGCCTTCCATCTGGAGATGGACACTTCAGGCCAGTTGCCCGGGAGGAACTTCTGTGTCCGCGTGGAGCCGGTGTGCACCTGCACGAGGGAGCAACAGGACGAGAACGTGCTGTGCTTCCTCCACCACCCAGAGGAAGAGCAAAGGAGGAATGAGGAGCCCAGCTTCCTAAACACCCTCTGCTCCGGCTCCTACCTTGATGTGGAGAAAACTGCCCGCTGGTTCTACCAGTTGGTGAGAGCAGTCTGGGTGATTTTGCCTCATTCACACACTTGGCAATTAATGCTGCTGCCCTCCAGCCGCTCCTGCAAATTCAAGCTGACCAGAGGCACACAAAGCTTCTCAGTTGAGATCCTTTTTGGGGTGCAGCAAGGAGACTCAGACATCTATGTGAGCAGCCAGCCCACAGAGGCCCTCTTCACCCCAAGCACAATGTGGCCGGAGACCTACGCCGTGGCCGAGATGAAGTTCTTCAGGCACATTGCCCGGCAGATTCCACAGGACAGCTGGCACCTCAAATGCCTGCAGCTCTTGGCCCGTGCGGTGGTGGGCATAGGCTTCTCCACTTATATGATGAAGACCATTGTGATGCACCTTCTGAACACCATACCCGTGACACGGTGGGGCAGCAGGTATATCCTGCTTCAGCTGGAGAATAGCATAGAGTACCTGCGTTCCTCCTTGTTGGAGAAACGCCTTGACCACTTTATTGTAGGCAACCAGAGACTTCCTGAGGTGATCAGCTTGCCCCTGGAAGTCCAAACTGCCAATCCACCCAACCTCTTCTCTCACCTGGAGCAGAATTCGGCCGCCAACACCCAGGCAATAAGCGAGTTCCGTGACCTGCGATACCGGCTCAAAATAATGTTGCTAGAAGGCCACTGAAAGGAAGACTCCTGCACACAGCTATGCTTGTGGGGCTCAGAGTTGGTGGTAGACAACCATTTCTAACCACAGGGATAAAGAGAGGAGAACATGGGATAGAGTGAACGAAGATAAAACGCTGTGCAGCAGCACTCTGCCATCAGCAGCAGCATTCGCCTCTCAACAATCTGCCCAGCACAGCGTCCAGTGATGACCAGGGGGCCTACAAAGATGACTTTCATCCTCCTTTCCCCTCACACTCTCATGGTCATTGTGGCCATTTGAGATGGGCCCAGGAATTCTTTCTGGTAGCTCCAGCTGCTCAGGGATCAAGTGAAAGGCACTGCTAATATTCCTCCTGGTGTTCACGGTGGCCTGGGTGGAGAATCACCTCATCCCAGACCCTATCCCTTATTGATCCCTGAAGGGCCATCTGTAGGTCAGCATACCTTGTTGGACCTGACCTGACATTTTTTAGATATAAATATAGAAGATTTTATTAAGTGTATATATATTCATAACTAATAGGACATACACATATTTACCATAGCATATACATATATATTTATTTAATATTACATTATTTTTATATAGAAGTATAGAACAAATAAATTTCTCCCAGTATCTCCCCTTGTCCCCTTAAGGGACGCTTTAGGTCAGCATTGCACCAAGACTGTCATCCCCAGACACACTTGGAGCTGACCTTAATTTTTTATTCTATAAATACATAGGCTTTATTTTACTTCATATTTACAGTATAGTTCATAGGTCATTTCATTGATATTCTACTATTATTACATAAATATAGCATCAATAGATCTCCCACTATTGGTTTCAACACATATTACCTCCCTGTAGTCACTGAATTTCTGACTGGCAATCCAGAGACTGCTTTCCCCTTGCTTCAATAAAGAGTGTTACTCCAGAAATTGATCTGTGCAAGTTTGTATGGAACTCAACTAGGTCTGGAGTCTTGGGAAATCACACTAGCTGTGAGTCTGTGCTCGTGAACACTGGCATTGAGCTCGACCAAACGGAGAGTGCTGAATTGGTTCTCCTCCCAAATTAGGCCTCCTGCCACACGGCCCCTCTGCTCATGGAATCTCAGAATGGCTTGGGCTGGATGGGACCTTAAAATTCATCTGGTTCCAACCCCTCTGCCATGGGCAGGGACACCTTCCAGCAGATCCCGCCCCATCCCACCAGGCCTTTAACACTCCCAGGGCTGGGGTATTCACAGCCTCTGGGGTCAACCTGTGCCACTGCCTCACTACCCTGACACTCAAGACTTTCTTCCTACTATCCAAACCGAGCCTGCCCTCTGAAATATAAAACCATTCCCCCTTGCCCTCTCACTACGTGCCCTTGCAAAAAGTCTCTCCTCATCACTCTTGTAGGCTCCTTTCAGGTACGGGGAGGCTGCAATTAGGTCACCCCAAAGCCTTCTCTTTTTCAGGCTGAACAGCCCTAATTCTCTCATCCTTTCCTCATTGGAGAGGTGCTCCATTCCACTCATCTTCTTGGTGTCCGTCCTCTGGGCTCATCCAACAGTTCTATGTCACTGACACCAGCGACAACAGCAACCAATTTCATCCGAGAGCTTTCACTCTTGACTGTAAACACTTTTTCTCTCTCTTCCCTTCTCTCCTTTCCCTTTAACTCTTCTTCTTCTCTCTCTGTTTTCCCTTAAACATTTTCTTGGATGTTATCTTTATGATTTTACATTGCTATATTGCAACCAAAACAGCTAAACACCTTGTTTCCTTTGCAATACCTTTGTGCTTTTATATTGCCATGTTACTACAGATACGATCAAAACAGCTACTTACCTGTATTCCTTTGCAATCAAATTGTTCTAAAATAAACCATTTATATATATATATCTGTAAACAGCGATCAACTAGTATCAATTTACTTTAATTAACGCCAAGGAATTTATTATCAAAAAAACAAAAGTTATTCCTGCCTGGCAGGGAGGGTTGTAACACCTGGAGCTCCCAGAGCTGGATGCAGCACTCCAGGTGGGTTCTCCCCAGAGGGGAGTAGAGGGGCAGAATCACCTCCCTTGCCCTGCTGCCTACCTGCTGAGGATGCAGCCCAGGATGTGGTTTGCTTTCTGGGCTGCAAGTGCACATTGCCAGCTCATGTCCAGTCTCTCATCCGCCAGCACCCACAAGTCCTTCTTGGCAGGGCTGCTCTCCATCCCTTCATCCCGACCTTGCATTCCTACCAGGGGGTAGGACCCAGGTGCAGCACCTTACACTTGGTCTTGTTAAATTGCTTTGGATTTCCATGGGCCCACCTGTCCAGCCTGCACAGGTCCCTCTGGATGGCATCCCATCCTTCATGTGTGTCAACAGCACCACTCAGCTTGGTGTCACCAGCAAATCTGATGAGGGTGCCCTCGATCCCTTCATCTAGGTCATTAATGGAGATATTAAATGACACTGCTCCCAATATGCACATCAGAGGGACACCACCTCTCACTGATGTCCATCGTGACTCTGAGCCTTTGACCTCTGGGTGCAACCATCCAACCAATGTCTTATCCATCCAACAGTCCACCCATCAATCCATCTCTCTCCAATTTAGAGAGTATGTTGTGGGGGACCATGTCAGAGGTTTTACACAAGTCTCCAGATGAATGACACATGTAGCCCTTGCCTTGTCCACTCCTGTCCTCACCCCGTCGTACTATGACAGGGAGCAGGTTTTGACCAAAATAGTATTTTGTAAAATCATTTCATGAAGTCATTAGTAGCAATTTCCCTCTGGTGCTAGAGCTTATGCAGCCTCTTTTCCATGTGCATCTTGATTTCTACACTCACCCTTGGGACAGGAGAATTTGCTTTGGTGGGGTCAGAGACAGTGGGAAAGCCTCATGCCAGGAGGTGGTGGGTTGGTTTATTTCTGCCAGGGTCAGAACTGCCTCCAGAAAAGGCTGTGATCCCTCTGGTCCCTATTCACATGCTTTGACTGCTTCGAGATGAGTTACAGGCTGCAAGAAATGTTTATCAAGCTGAAGGCAGATCACAGAAAGCACAGATCTGAAACCAGAGTGAACCAATAAATAAATGGATGGAGTCTCTTAGCCACATCAATCACAGCCTGTGTTTGCCAAGCGGATTAAAATGACACGAACACAAAACATGTAGGAAATGGTGGAAAAGTTGCTGTTTTCCAGACAACATGATTCCTGGAATCATGAATGTTTCATGTAACAATTAATGGAAGCTGGTGCGCCAGTTTTATGACCCCCTATTGTTTCAATATCATTTATCACACAATAGAGTCATTACAATATTATTATTGTGATTTTATGTATTTTAGAATTTATTACAATATTATTTCAGTGTTTCTTACATTAGGGCAAGGCTTTGACAAGCTGGCCATGGGTCATGACAAGTAGATGACGACAGAAACAGCCCACACATGAAGGAGACACGATTTGCTGAAGTCCCCTTTGATTTCCATCCTGCCATCCTGCTGCAGCCCTCTGACTTGATGGCAGGATGAATGTGGGGCAGGATATAGCCCACATGCTGGCAGCTCTGAGCTTACTCAAGCCATACAGATGAGTCTTGCAGATAGGCTAGGACATGATTTTGGGACCAGTGGGAAGATGCCACAGCTGTTACCCTATTGCACAACCCTGCCTGCTTTCAGGTTAAAGCTGGGGAGGGGGTCAGCTGCTCTCCCAGCTCCTGAGCACAAGCTGAGAAGAGAGAAAGGGTGTTACCCACAAAACCCTTAAAAGACACATGGGAACAGAGGGGCGGAGGCACATTTTTGAGATTGATCTAGGCTGGACCAAGAGCTGACAAGTCAAATCTAGGTCTCCAACACAGTAAATGTCACAGATCTTGGGGGGGGGGTGTGGGGGGGTGAACACCAAAAAACCAAACCATAAATGTTTGAAATGTCTGCAATTTATGGCTGAGAGAAGCTGTTGCACACAGCTGATGGCCTCTTTCTGCACACTCTTCTTCCTTGCTTGTCTCAGAGGTCTACATAGGCCAGTGAGGGATTATTTCTGCTTTTCTCTGTGCTGAGACACCAGGTGAGACCAAACGCCCTTAGGGTGCCCAGTGCTGTCAGGAGAGCTGGTGAAAGTCACCCTACCCCACCCAGGAGCCAGCCTTCCCCTCCAAGGCTCCAGAGATGCAAAGGCAGCATCAGATGCTGCAGCCTAAGCTGTGTGGCATTAACACCTTTTGAGCTTGTCTGTCCCCTGCCATCCCTCATGCCAGGGTAAATCTGACCTGCTGTCATAGATAATTCAGGGTACGCCCAATCTGAGTCCTTGCAGAACTCAAAGACCAAGGGAGGGCTCCCACTTGTGCTGGCAGTCCCATGGAAAGCGACAGAGCAAGTGGGGATTTCCTGGGTGCAGAGACCCCGTCTTCAAATTCTGGCCTTGCAGGTTAGCAAAATCCATACTGGCATCCTGGGACAACCCAGCGCTTAATTTCACTCCAAACCGTAAAATTTCGTACAAGGAAAATTCACATTTTTCCTTCAGCTTTTAAGGTGTTTCCATGCGTTTGGCAGAAAGGTTCTCCTCACGTGGAAACACTTTCTGGCAGGGTGAACAGCTTCCGCTCACCGCCAACCCATTTTGCACTGGATCATGGGAACTGTAGTCCAAAAGCATCCCCTTCCCCTCCTCTGTAATGAGCTGACTTCCCAACCCAAACCTCCTTTCCCACCATACTCCAAAAGTCAGCCAGTTCCCACACGCCCAAATTGTGTTCCCACCCGATTTTAGCCTTGGGATGGTTTTAGGATATGGAGTCTTCCAAAGTGTTCTGCCCCTAAGAAGGGGGTTGAACTCTGCGAGGTGGCTCTGGAAGGTCAAGTGAGGAAATAGTGTCAGATGACCTTAAGGTCTTCTAAAACTGAAATGTGTGATGTTCAGTGGTATGTTCTGGCTTGGAACTAAGTGACTAAAACGAGACAGCTAAATGAGACTCTCCCTAATATAAATGAGACTCTCCCTAATATAAATGAGAAGTATTTGA